CGCTCTTCCCTAATCCCAGTGAGATTAATGGGTGTTTATACCTTCTGGGCACATCATAGCCTTTTCCCCTTGCTGCTTTCACGTTCCCCCATGTGATTTCATGTTTACATGCAGCTGTAGACCTCCACCTATTCAGACAAAAACACCTTCATGTAATGACTGGCTAGTAAACCAAAACTATCATCTCAGGCTTTTCTCAACCCTCCTGAATGATATGAATTTTCCAACCTATCTTAAGTGATACTACAGAGAAGAAAAGAATCTCTTTACCAAGGATATTGTTCTGTATTTTGTGGCTCCTAATGTGTTCCAGGGACAACCTCATTGAAGGAAAAGACTTTCCTGGCACAACAAAAAATTTTCTCAAATCAGCTGCAGCTGCCAGATACTTTCAGCTTTGAATTGTTTGCATTTATTGGGCCTGGAGTTGGTTCAATGAGGCATTTCATGTCTGCCTTGTGTCAACAGTTTGTGAGCCTTGAAGCAACTCCAATGAACCCTCCCTCCCCCATGCAAATTAAAGGCAAGGCTGAAGCAGCTGTAACCAGAGGGCTAGAAGCTGGAAAATGTCACACCACAGTTGAAGTGAAACCGATAGAAATCAATGATGTGATGATCTCTTTAAAAAAACAAAATTCCAAACAAATGCAAACAATATTTAATACTCAAACCTTTTCCACATGAGCAATGTGGAGAAGGTTTATATATGGAAGGATATTTTGAAGGTTAACAAATGGTTGTGTAGCTAATAGTTCTTGATGTTAAGTATTAACAAACAGTTGTTCACTAACAAATTATTATCAAACAGTTGCTCATGCTAAAACATAAACATAACTTTTAAGAGCCACCTAACTGGAAAGCTGGATTGGGAAGCAAATTGGCTCAGCTAAAAAGTCCGTCACAGAAGAGGGTGAGGATTAAAAAAGGAAAATGGGCTTCTGAATAAGATAACATGAGGTTGCCTGTAACCGTAGGAAGCTTTCTGCACTTGCTGCAGTACAACCAGAAGGAGGTCGCCAACATACATAATCTATTGATCCATTGAGGTTTTGCAGTTCTCTAACACTTTCCTTTCAGTCATCCAATTCCTGAAGCTATATGTAAGCTGAAGCATCTGTTTTTCTGGATTGGTGAAACTGATTGTGTTCCAGTTACCTGATCTTAGCCTGCGACTCCCAGAATTCCCAGAACGTGCTCTAGTTACTTGAAAACCTCAAACTGACTCCGTAATTTATGCCTGCAGGACAAGAGAGTTGCAACAAAAAGTGAGATTTTTTTTCTCCACATCATGCAAATAAATCCACGGGCTCTAGTAACTAATTTGTTGCAGACAAAAGTGTGTAGGCAGCCAGATGAGTTTTGCTGGAGGGCAGTGTTTAGCCAGAGCTTTAACTGGTAGCCCTTCTGGGTATTTACTAAATGTTGAGGGCTGCGTGGTGTGGGATCTTTTTTTTCTCATTGTTGGGGTTTTTTACTGCCTTTTACTGTGAAGACTTTGCTCTCTATGCTGTGGAGTCTGAAGGTACAACTTCACCCTGTCTGAAGTGCGTGCATGTGTGTGTGGAGAAAAAAAGCCCACAATTTAATAGTGAAACTGTAAGATCTTAGACTGCTGAAGCATCATCTAATGCAGTGTGTCTCCAGTTTTGCAGGTCTGCTTCCCTTTTGAGCCCCTCTGTCTTTGATTACCATTTCCCTCTTCTCGGAGGGTGAGAAGTTCTTCCGCGTTAGGAGGAAGGAAAAGCGGCTGTAATTGCTGCAAGTATTTACATTCTCCAGGGAACAGGTAACTACCTTTAATTGCTGGCAGCAGCGAGGCAATTAGCTGTTCTCTGAGTAGTATAAACACTTTATGACCTTCTTTGAACGCTCCTTTGAGAATCCCCTTGAGAGAGAAGCATCACAATTTGAGGAAACACAGATCAGAAAACAAGTAGAACTGTGGAAAAGCATCTGCACAAAAAACACGGTTATAAACTTCAGTCTGACATTGTGATGGGAATCTTTTATTGGTTTTTGGAGTTCTTACAGTTGTTTTAGGCTTTGTAAGAAGCTATACAGATTGCACTATAAAAATACTGTTATACTAGACTGAGTCAAAAAGAGCACAGTCAATAATTATGCAGCAAGACAAGGCGTTGTCATATGATTTTCATTCTCCATTTAACTTGTTAATTCTGTTTAGCTCATAGTCTTTCCGTTCTTCATCCAACGACACTCCAAAGGAGCGTGTGTTTGTGTAGCGTAGGGACTTTCTCCGCTATGAATTAAACCCAGTTTTGAGACTCTTGATGTAGCAAATACATTGCTGCATATGGTGTTTATTCCTTTTTGTAATGCTATTGCAGTCATGATCCTTCAACTGTAAAAGATATTCTCTGCTGTGCATTCAGAGACTTATCAACCTTGGTGATTGTGGCCCTCTGAGGAGTTACCGTCACGCAAGGTATGCCCGGTTATTCCTGATTCTCATTCACTAGACTGAGTCAACCTTCAGTCTCTTGTTCTGGAAATGCCAGTTTTTGTGTACCTAGGGTTTCTGGTTAGGGCTTGCCATCAAGTTCCTGTAAGCTGCAAAGATGGAAGACTGCTCTTCCACAGACTAGCATCTTCTGCAGGTGACTGTCTGTTACATGTAGCAGAGGGAAAAATGAGTAACACTAATTGTATAAATCAGTTGGATTTAACAAGTTTGGATTGGCTGGGACTCACCTCAATGACCTCTGTAGCACCTAGAAGTTAAGTCCTAGCCTGTTTACTCATCTGCAGTGTACCTGAGATGAAGTCTATCCTTCATACTTATTTGTTTTTAATGGGGAATCTCCTCTCCTAACATGAAAAAGGTTTTGGCCTTTCAACTGTACAGAATACAGTTTTGTCACAAGAAACAGTCAAGCATTTAATGATGAATGAAATTTGATACAGAATTCTTGGGACCCAAACTGTTTTTTTTCCTAACTGATGTTTTCTGTGTAATTAGACTTAGTCCACATCAGAAAAGTCCACTGCAGATTTGCAATATTCTAGCACGCTTTTTCTCAACACTTTTGTACCCTTAGCAATTTGGCAAATTTAAAAATAGCAAACTCATAGAATATTGTTTCGTGAATGACTAAAACTCAGCAAAGGTTTCCTTGCTGTAGTGTATAAATAGCCACAGATGTAACTGCCAAGAACACTGCTTGGATTTGAGATATGCAATATAAAGGAAGGCTCTCCCAGCCTGAGAAATTATCCTTTTAACTGCTGATTTGGCACAGGTATGGCAGCTATGTGATTTTTGTATGAGAGTATATAAAAGTAAGAGTATAAGAGATTCCTTAAAAATATCTACAACCGGTAGTCTGCTATAGTAATAGCTAGCATGTCTTACAGTTGCATCATCTTCTAAAATTTACTGTGAATAAGCAAGGATAAAATGTTCTGCTCTAAGAAAAAAAAAAAAAAGCTACTTCTGAATTTGCAACAAATACTTACATGAACTAAAGAAGTTCTTAATATGAATTGTCATCTCTAATGATCTCAGTGAGCGGACAAAACTTTCCATCTTATAACTGAAATAACTGTAAGTAGAAAAAGAGGGTAAGTCAATGTGTTTGATGCCGTGGTGCAGTTTCCTGAGGTGGTAAAATGATGATGTGAAGCCAGTACTGTTAACACGACTCTTTATATATTCTTCATTCTGATGACGGCTTGTTCTGGCTTACCAGCAACTTCATTTCTTGCTTATCTATGCTGGAATTTACGCTTTCGGCCTCTTTTTCTTGCTCAGGTACACAAGTGCAGCCCACTGGGATAGTGACGTAATCTTCTGTGTAGATGTAACGGCCCCCAGCACACGACGACGTGCGACGGAGGATGACTGTTGGCATGTACACAGGGGTGCTGCGGAAGTGAAAATTCTCCTCCCCAAAGATCCCCATGAGGCAGCCTTTGCACAGACAGTATGCTTCGGGAATGTATTTAGGATATCTTGTGGGATCATAGGAAATTCTATAGGGAAGCAAATAATAAAGATTCATTAGTATCTCTAAAAATAGATATATTCATCTGGAAAATGTTATTATAATGTGATTTGACCCTAAACATTTATATAAAGTTTTTGTTTTTCTTTGCCAGGAAAAATAGCTGTAGCTGTTGCTGTCTGGCTTCTTGTTTGTAAAGTGTAAAGAAAAAACATGAACAACTTCTAGAACTGATCAGGTCCTACAGCGCACACTGAAGTATGAAGTGACTGGCTTTCTAAAACGGGAGATTCAGGGGTTTAAGCAGAGTAAGTTTTGCATTTTGGACTGAATGGGTATATAGAGCATTTAAAAGAACACTTGGGCATTTCCAGACTTTTGATCTGCCTTGAGTTCTTAAAAAATTGGTACAAATCCTTGTTAACATTATTATTGTTGAAGCCATGACATGACGTTTTAAAATTTTATAATTTAAATAGAATTAAATTGCACTATTATTTCTGCAATAGTTTTTGCTCTCTAGTATACTTGGGGCCTTCCTCTTGAAAGCAGAACTCTTGCTTTCTTTCTCTAATTCACCTCCTCGGTCTCTTCCTCTAACCAGAGAAGAGTAACATTTGCATGCCCACACTGAGATAAACTGCAAAGTTAACGTTTTCTCTGCCCTCTCCTGCTACCTTTGGAAGTAAAGCATTGCCCCAAAGCTTCAAGAGTATAGCCTCTATTTTTTGTTGTCTTGCAGTTTGTTGTTTGACCCTTTCTTTTTGCTCATTCATGCCCTGTCTCTGGAAATTCCTTATTAGCAGGAGCTGGAAAGCTTGTAACCGAAGTACAGCTTGGACCAACAAAGTCCAAGTTCCAGCATTCCTCTCTGGATGTTGTTAGGTGCAGAAACAAAGATGTGATACTATGATCTCAAGTCATACAGATCCTGGCTGACCTATAGCCATTGTTTTTAGCAGAGAGTAGAAGCTGATACAAGTCTGCTTGTTTTTTGAAATAAAAGACTAAGTAAACAGCAGAGTACATGTACTGGAGTGTGTAGCTGCTTATTGTGGTGCTGATGCGTTTGCTGCTTTGTTCTTTACCCACTTTTCCTGCTTATACTGGAAGTAATTGCTGGGCATGGCTGTAACTTGTACGTTATTACAACTGTGTGTCATTATTCTAGAAAAGATGCTTGCACCTCCAGAAAAAAGAGCATTTTTTAATATGTTTAGCTCCTACGTCAGCTGTCCTCTTTGTACTTGTAAGCTTCCTCCAGATCACCTTCTGCTCTCACACTGTTATAAAACTAGCCCTGCTTCGGCAATGGTTGCACGGTCCAGCTGGCGAGGGATGACGGCTCTCTTTGGCTGGAGAAGCGTTCAGCCCAGAAGCACGGCCAGCCGCCTCTCGGTGCTCCTCCCGCAGAGCCCGTCCCCCCTTTGGGAGGATGCTGACCCCGAGTATGTTACCAGAAGCACTTACCCACCTGTCAGCTAACAGAAAACCCTCTTCTGCCCTTTCCCGCGGCTCCTGCTTTCACACAGCAGACAGTTAAACCTACACACGGTGCACAGTAGTATCCTACACGCTGTTACTGGCACGCAGAAAGCATGAAGACCCGTTGGGAGGTCACCTAGTCCAAATGCCTCCATCAGGCAAACTCAGATATATTTGCCCATGTTTGTCCAGCCTGTTCTTAAAAACCTTCAGAGGCGTTCCCCAGCCTGCCCAGAGGCTCTGTTTGCAGTATTTCACCACCCTTTTACTTGCTAAGTTTTCCTAACAGTGAAGTGGAGCATTTTTTTCTTGCAAACTGAATCAATCATTTCCCATGTTTGGCCTGGAAATTACAGCAGCTGAGGCTAAAAAACTGAGTAATAGTCAAGGATTTTATATGAGAGAGAATGTTCAAGCCTGTAATGTTTACTGTGAAGTGCTGCAAAAACAGTAAAACTTCTTGCACTGGGTTTTAAGCCATCCTCTATTTGGTATCAGGATAGGATCACCACAGAGTAGATGAAGGGGGGAAATTACATAAGAAAAATGAATAAATTAAATACCTGTCATCAATATAATTACTTATGGGATGATACAAACTACTGAGTATACAACGCCCCCCTTCCCACAGCAGTTTCAAAATAACCGATTCTGAAAACCGCAAGAGATTTAAAGTGATTCCTAAATTGTGTTTCCCAGGGTTCGTACCACTTCCTTGGGTATCAAAAGCATTAGCCTTTTATCTTTTCAGGTGGTCTCTGAGATGAGAAGAGGTTTCAGCTGTGGAAGGGACAGCGTAAGTCTGCCTTGAGCTGTGATTTCACAGTCACTTCTAGTCAACAAAATCTGCACTTGCCAAAACAGCCAGGCTGGCTCTCCCTCTCGCCTCCACCCCTGGGTTGATGCTGACGTTTCTGGTCACAGGATTAGATCTGGGAATTCATCCAACTGAAAAGTAACTTCATCAAAAGCTGAATTTTGGTCCTTCAGCTGTCTTGCCACATATACACAGAGCCCTACACAAACCAGCCAGCATGAACAGGCAGCTGTAGATGGGGGCAGAAGGGAGCTGCCCTTTTCAGAAGTATCACCAGTTTATCAGGTTAAAACAAATCTGGAATCACAGCTTTAGCCAAACACAAACTTGATTATCCTGTCATCAAAGAAAAGAGACTTTTTTTTTTTTTTTTTTGCAATGGCCATATAATCTGGATTCTTTGTCTTTTTAAGGAATTTGTTTTCCTCACAGAAAAATCTGACCAGTTCTCTCATAGCCAGACATCTGTGATGTCGCAGATATTTTTTGCAAAGCTTCTCTGTCCCATTTATACTTTCTTGCTTTCCCCAGGAAATACCCTCATGTTACAGGATCTCACACCAATGTGAAATAAAATGTCTGGTAGCCAGCAGAAGAGAAGAAAGTGGAATACAGACTTTTTTCCCATGATACATTCCCATTTCAAACTCAAGTGTGAATAATTTCAGTGGTGGATTGTTAAACACACCATATGTCAAGTCATTGGTATTTCCTCTACTGTATTATCTCTAGCACCTGGTTTATGATGTTACTGGAAAGCACGAACATGCTTCTGGGTGCAAACATAAGAGTTTTCACTAATAACAAGAGAACACTGTCCCTGGAATCGTGGTCTACAACAAGCTTCCCTTCCGAATTACCATGTGGCAGAAGTCAGGTACAAATGAGGTTTTTTTTGGAAGGATGGTGTGGTTTTCTGCTTTCTATAGAAAAATCTCTTGTATTGCTAAATTTGCTGTAGATACCTCTACCCCATCATGTGAGGACTGGAAGGAATCAAGAGAGGATCCAAACCCAAAGATGGATCCAAAATATAGATGTGGTTTTGCATCCAGACCAGAACTTTAAGGCTGAAGACTCTGAGTAATGCCTTCTGAAATTAAACGCTGAAGTCAAACGTCACTAAACTTTGCAGCCATATGCAAGGTTCTACATCTTCAGCTCAAACCTGTTAAGAAAGGCCCTAGAACTAAAGCCTCATTTTCATCTTTCTAGGCAACCCAGCCTGACTTGGGTCTGAACTGCTAATGAACACCAGTAATCTAGCTGTATAAATGCAGTTGTGTGACCTGCTTCCTCTGTTTTCACGTATTGAAGGTAACCACTCTGTGCATGTAATGACCGCAGCCCCAGCTGCTGTAGTTTGATGCATCTCCATTACTCCAAGCACTGCAACTCATGTTTTTATGTCTTCTCCTAGAACAGGGCAAACGTTTCATTGGTTAATTAACTTGACAAAACACATACTCCAAGTTCACACTGACTCTTTCCTGTAAGTAGTGAAAGAGGCACCTAACTGGAGTGGACACAACAGAAGCAGCTGGGAAGAGTGGTGGAGAACCAGAGAAGTGCAACTTTCCACTGGCACCCAAGCGTCCCCTGCATCCTTGTGTCATTTGCTGTGGCCACTGCTCTGCAAACTAGACAACCCAGTCATTTCTATGAGGGTCTCCCCTGTCCTGTGAACTCAGGTTACTGGTATGTAAGGCTAGCTCTGCCTAGCCGGCGCTCCTGATTTACAGACGACGGGAGCAGTGAGCTATGCTGGGCTGCTATGTTTCGATCGGCTGGAACAAGAAGCAGGTTTGTACTGAACTGGAACTGCTAATGAAGTGTGACTAGTTCTAGGCTGCTTTTCCTTACGACCCTACGAGTGCTTTGAGAGCTCCCAGTGAAAAACAAACTTCCTGCCGTTTATGTACTAAGCCTGGAAACTCAAGAGAAAAGTTTCTGTCAGAAGTAAAACTCTTGCAGACTTCATCTGTCTTGTCCTGTACTGCTACTTTCATATGTAGTACTTTTAATTACATTACCACTTCATAGTTTCCAAGCTTCTAAATCCTGTGGGTCAGATGCTGTGCTGGGGCAGGCAGATACCGCTGCCTCTTCAGAAAATCACCGTTAGCACTAGGCTAACAGCTGGATGTTATCAGAAGTCTAATAAGCAGATCATCATCCCTTTACTTTGCACTCTGAAATGCTTACAGGATTAAGAGCTAACAACTTTTTTTTCCCTCTTGGCAAGGCATTTATTTCTCTATAGCAGGTGTTCTTTTGTTCACGTTATACTTAGTTTGTTTTATATACAGGTAGTAAGTACAGTGGTTGCATGTAACAGCCTGATGCTAACAGTGATTTTCTGAAGAGTTGTACACACGTGTACTCAAATAAAAAGGATGGCAGTTCTCTGTCCCCTTGTATTCCTTCCCTCAGCTGCATCTTTGGGATATGCACACTGTGCCACACGATAATGCTAAATCCTGAAAAACATCTTGGGTAAGGTTCTTGAAAATCACTGGAGTATTATTTAAAAAGGAAAGCGCTTTTTCAAAAGCAGCGCAGACAAGCTTGGCTTTTACCAGTAAAAAAAAAAAGACTTGTCTGTATTGCTTTTATTAAGATTTTATGTAGATGAGCACTAAACCAAGGATGCTTATAAACTGAAACTGGTTTTTGAAAAGCAGAAGAAACAAGCTGGGCAATGTTTGAGAGAGGGACTAGCTAATATGGGATTTCATGATCAGAACAACACTGACAATAAAAGCGAAATCTCTGTAAATGAACCCTTAGTAAATGCAGGATTAGGCCCCAGAGACAGCCACAGAAGCCATGAGATGTGGAAATTCAGAAACGGGAATGATTTCTTGAATACACATAAAGAATTTTTGCTAAATTCATGCAGAAGTCTGTTTGCAGAAGACTCTGAATGTACTCCTACAAACTAGCTATGAATGCTATTATAACCTTAAGACAACAGAGAGTAAAAATAGAGCTGATGTATACAGCTGTTAATGAATGGCACCTGTGGTCTGTAGCACCACGAATAGAATCACAAATCAACACTACCTGTAAACACCCTGTTGACTTCAGTGGGATCAGATTTTTCAACCATTACTCTGAGTTTTATGATCAAACCCTGCAAACATTTAGGCACGCATTTAAAATCAATCCTTTTTATAATGGCTCTTGTCCATGAGCAACTTACGTGCGCATCTCTGGAGCTGAGCTTGCATTAGTAAAGATTCCCCATGCTTACGGCTTCTCTGAATTTTAACAAGCAGTGCCCATCCTGTGCTGTCGGCAGGGATCCGTCGGCGGTAAGACAACCTGTATCACTAATTCTTGTGAGGCAACTGCGAACCATAGCAATAGCCAAGGACCATGGCCCTTGCCAGTAACTCCTTGTACAAGCAGGCTTTCTGGATTTCATTGCATGTCCAACACTACTAGAAAGGACAAGCAACTCCTGCGTAGATGCCACAAATTGGCATACAGTCAGCCTCATGATTTCATGGCATGATGATTTCACGGCAGAGCTCCTGCCGCTGGCTCTATCTTTTAAAAAAACTGGGTAATTCTTAGACCAACTTCCTGAAGTGCTGAGCAAATCTAGTATGCTCAAGATTTCACTCCACACAACTGACTGCAGGGAACTCTGCTGTCTTTTTATAGCTCTGCAGGCTGAAGAGCGATTTGGGTGATTAAACCTCGTGCTCTGACTTATATACTGATCTCCTGTGGCCATCAGGATGGAATTTCAGTATTGGGCAGATGAACTAATATTCTTCCTCTAACTTTTGCCTCAAATACCAACTGTTGGTTGCTGCCAGCAGCAGGATCATGGACCAGATGGATCTGTGGTGCAATCCATGTGCAACTCCTGTATCTCTGGGTTGTAGCAAGCCAAAAATGATCTAAGTCTTGATTTTTGTATAACCAAATTAAAGACCATGTAATAGAAAATAAATAGTAAGCACAGAACAAAGACAAGGAAAGAAGCCACACAAGGATTATCCGAACTTTGGGTCAATCAAAGTTCTTCCACACTTAAATAGAACGACAAACTTGGATATATGCGATGCAGTAGGGTGAATGCTATACACAGATCTCTAAGACATTTCATTCTTTCTCACAAATGCTGATACAGAAAAATTTCAGTTGACTTGAACTGAACGGTCATGTGAGCAGAAGAATTACAAGAAGCAGCGTTAAACAGCTGGGAACAGGTGCCTAGGGAGATATGCAGGGGAAGGTAAGTAGAGCCAGACTTAATATCTTTATTATTAATGACCTGGAATGGGGAGTATAAACAGTATGTTAATGAAATCTGCAGATGGTAACAATGGGAACTGCTGCAACACCAATGAAGACAGAGAAACAGCATGAGGTATCTCAGACTAACGCAGGTCAAAAAGAAAAAAAGACCCTTTATGCATAGAGCAGAAGTCAATTGCGCTGTAACTCTTTAGGGGAAGAAAAGAAGTTGGAGCGCAGGATGTCTGTGAGATGCTGAAATGGGGCAGGCACCTTGATGCAAGTTTCAAACAGTCAAATTCATGCTTCGAGGGGTGTCTTATCAGGGTGTACAAGAGGGGGCTGCCTACAGTGAATTAATTTCTGAGCGTTCACTACTGGAACAACTCTGGTGACTCAGGAGGCAGTTCAGGAGACAGCAATGAATGACGGAAGGGGAGCAATTTCTGACGAAGGGGAGCAGTTTATGAGGAAAGATTAAAAGAATTAAAGGTAAGCAGGCTTGTCAAGAAAGTTCTCTATTACAGAGGAGAACTGTATGCAGTTTTTCAGATTAACACCCCAGCCATGGAGAAGAAATTGTTGGGATGGTGTAAGTGAAACTGGTTAACCATTGACAAGACGTAATGTGCCAGTAGTGGCAATCTTTAATAGAGAGTTGCATGTCCTTTTTATGCAGTAGCTCTGATGGGATTTGGGAGCTTGCTTCCAGGGTAACTGGGTGAACACCACAGATCAGGCCAGATCTTCATAATGCTTTTATCTTGCTTCAAAATCTATGAAATAGCAGGTTGTAATAGCAAATGCATATTACTGTTCATGAGCAATTTTATATTTTACGCTTTCATTACACATCTTGCAATGTCTATTGCTGTTTCATTGCACACTAATGCTACAGTAAAAACGTGACTGAAAAAAAAGCTGTAAATGAGATCTGTTAACAGGACAGTGTACTCAGGCCTCTGCACCCTAGAGAAACAATTTCTCCCCTAAATATAATTTTAGATTTTTTCCTTTAACACTGTAATACTTTTTTTTCACTATCTTTTAAAATTTCTAGCTTGGAGATGTCATCAAGTTACTTGTATGTGAATGGTTAATGGTCTGTTTGAAAACATTTTGATGAAAAGTACAGTGGATTTACAGTTTCTTAATAAACCTTTTGTAAGCCAGGACCCAAATAGCAGCTGGTTCTCTGTTAAGAAGTAAGCCGATACAGAGCTCCAACTGAAAAATAAATACCTGCCCAACGAGATGCGAGCATGGAAGGCACTGTTTTCAGACCAGAAGAACAATTTTCTGATAGCACTAGGATTTGGCAAAACCACTGTAAAAAATACCTGAGCCTAATGGTAGGTGTTCTGTTCATCGTACTTGCTTTTTGCACGCTTAGGTAACTTAAAAATTCCTCGGTCTGCTTACAGAAAATGTATTACTAAAAATACTATGTCTAAAAATACTTTGTTTATGAAAGGCTTATTGAGCAAATAAACCATTTTTCTCTCAGTAGGATTACTTCTTAAACTAAAAGCGGGCAAAAACCATGCCACAAAATAAATGTTTATTGGAGATCACTAACAAGGAGATATTTAAGTTTGCTGAATATACAGTAACTGCATCAAGGTATATATGAAGGATAATGTACAGAAAGTAGCAAGAAAGTCAGCTCCTTTTAGGTTTGTGCATGTTTTAGCTTGCTGTTGTCTGCAGTGTCTTTACAGAAAGCTGAAAAGAGAGAACCCAGTTCTGTCAGTCTTACTCAGACAAAACTACCAGAAGACTTGATAGCGAGAATGTGACCACACGCTGGGTTTAGCGTTCTAGAAAAGTGGTTTCCAAGCTTTTCCAGCGTTCCTTACAGAAGTGCAGACCCTTGTTTTGTGTATTAACAGATCTACTTTACTTATTTTTATGCCCCCTTAAAAAGAGTCTGTCAGCCCCTGTTCCACCTCAGGGGAGGGGAGTTTGCAAAGTGTAGGTTGAAAACACAGATGTAGAAAATTGCAGTACTCATTCCTTGCCAACACTCCTACAGCAAACTGGACAGCAAGCCCTTGGGACTGTTTATAGTGGGGTACGTGAAGACACGTCTCTGCTGGTATGCAACAAGAACACACGCTGTACTCTGATAATGTTTTAGAAACCAGCAGCGCCTGGAGTCACACTCAGGGAAAGCATCCGAGCCCCTCTGTGGATGCTACGGAGTCAGGAGGGGCTTTCTTGGTGATGATCCTTTGCTGAGTGAACTTCACGTATGACAGCCTGCCCAAAGCGACTTTTTGAGGGGTGGTCTGCGCTCCCGGGCGGGTGTGTGGGTGTGAGCTCCATCTCACAGCTCGCTCCACCTCATTCATTCTCCATTTCTATCTTCTGCTCGTTAGACATACTCCTCACAAAAGTTGTTTGTAAAAACTCATTTACCTTATATCTGCCTATTCAGACGCCTACTTTAACACCTTTCTGTCAGGCTGGTGCTGGGTGCAGCAGTCATCCCTCAGGCCCGGCGCCTCCCGAGGCAGCCCCAGGGCAGGGGCGGTGAGGCACAGGGGGGACCCACACAGCGGAACCGGCTCTCGCCAGCCCGCGGGACCCTGGCACCGCTTCGCCCCTTGACGCGGCGGGAACCCCCCCCTTCCCCCCGGTGCCCCGGAGTCACCTGTAGGCCCACGGCGAGGCGCTGCGCAGGTTGACGGGCAGCCGGAACCTCTTGTCGGCGGCCGGCCGGCCCCCGGCCGGGCAGCTGGCGTTGTGCTGGCGGCCCGGC